AAAACACCTTTTTTTATGCATCCTCCTATCACGTTGGGAAAGAAAATGATGCTGAGTAAAAGTCAGAAAGAAGTTGGGATGTAATTTGATTAAGCAATCTTTTTCGATAAATCTGACTTCAGGCCACAGGTCATGTCTTTATTTTTGATTAGATTGGACTTATTTATTTATTTTTACAGTTCAAGAAATATATTCATCAGGTGGCCGAAGAAAAGAGGAAATTCTCTTGATTCATAGCCAACATGTGCATTTCGAGACTTCATTACCCGAAAGTTTGCGTCGATACTTTCGTAACCTGATTCAAACACCGTAAACGTCGCCTGTCACCGCTGTAGCCCATTGATTCATTTCGGAAAAGAGAGCCCTTGAAGTTACAGACATAGGTTTATGAGGCAGCTATTGTATTTCAAAGGGTTGCCTTTGATAAATGGACAAACGTCTAGAGTGTGTGTGTGTGTGTGTGTGTGTGTGTGTGTGTGTGTGTGCGCACGTATGTGTGCGTGTGTGTAGATGTTTGTATAGACGTCACTCTGCGGGTGTCTATGTGTTCGTGAAATGGCCGTCTGGATGTACGATGGCGAACTTGTCTGAAATTTACAGGCTGATAGTTTACAGACTGATATATTTTTATTGCAATAAATCTATATGGTAATACGCACACACACACACACACACACACACACACACACACACACACACATATATATATATGTACCGTGTGTAACAGAAAAATCGTCTAAATCGTGTAACAGCATAATTGTCCATCCCACATAATGTTTAATAGCTAAATAAAAAAAAAACATAAAAAAACACTAAACTAATTGGCTTTCTTTTTGCCAGGTTTTCAGATAAGACATTTAGCCATCTTGACACCATTTGTCATCAGAATCACTGAAAACCCTCTTGAGTCATTCAACTAGAAAGAGAACAGATTAAAATCATTTCGTGTCAGTCCCACTGTCCTAAAAAAAGAGCAATGGTGGGAGGAAAAAGATCATTCAGGCCTTCAGTAATGGTTACCAACATTCATACTCTGGCTTCAAAGTCCATTCAAGAACCATCAACAGAACGGTGAATAAATTTAAAAAAGAGGGAACAGTAGACAGGAAAACCTGATCAGGAGGTCACAACAGGAAAAGGGATTATCATTTCAACTTAAAGCTAAAGAGATCAATTAGAAAAGATCCAACTCCATTCATGAGATGTTTGGCACGTGAGAGAGGAGTTTCAGCAATGATAGTCTAAAGGGCAATGAAAAAAAGGCTTGTAAATGAAATCGTACATGAAACCTGTGAGGCACCTTGTTACTCCAGGGCAGAAAGTTAAAAGGCTAGAGAGAGCGAAGATCATCTTGAATAAGTTGGAAAATGATCCTGGAATAATGTATTTTAAATTTATTTTAATCTTTCATGAGTTTCCGATCCTTAGCTAGGATTAATTAATGATGAACATGTCATTTTCGTTTATGATTGATTTCATCATGATTCTTCTAGGAGAGTAATTATGCATTCTTATTGCTCAAAGTAGAACCCAATAGTGCTAAAAAAAGCCTCGGAGAATTCCAGTAATATATCTTTAATCATTTCTAACATATAATGGTTCAAAACTTAATCTAACAATGGTTGCTGTTACACCCGTAGATATATATATATATATATATATATATATATATATATATATATATATATATATATATATATATATATATATATATATTACCAATTCATGACTGGTAGCGATAATTCCAAGGAAGATATGATCTCAGGAGAGCTCAATGTAAACTACAGGGTATAATAATAATAATAATAATAATAATAATAATAATAATAATAATAATCAAGAAGAAAACCTTAAAGATTCAGTTCGATTATAATTTATTTCGTGAATATCACCATATATTCATCTCTTCAGAATCTACTAAAAGATTTCGATCTGAAGAGATGAATATATAGATATTCACGAAATAAATTATAACCGAAATGTGTCTTTAAGGTTTTCTTCTTGATTATATATATATATATATATATATATATATATATATATATATATATATATATTAGGCCGGTGAAAGAAATTCGAGAGATAGACTAACAATAATAATGATAAAAAGAATAATAATGTTTATTGTCTATTCATAGGCCTTTAGAATAAATAGAAGCATCATGAGAAAATATGTTATAAGTCGGAACTTTCGAAACACGTCTGTACCTTTTCTAAACAAGTAAATGAAGCCGAAGGAATTTTTTCTGCATGTGTTAATGTATGAGGTTATTCACATCATACCAGCACGGATAGCCTCGGTTTCGCAGGGATAAAAAAAAATAGATAGAAATAATACAAAAAACGTGTTAAATTGTAAATTAAAATCATACGGTTTTATTTATTTTTTTGTACTGGTGTGTGTGTATTTTTGTTTACAAGTGTTTTAAGGTTGCATGTGATAAAGGAAAAAAATCACTTGGTATTATAACAAGAAATGTGCTTAGGAAAGGAGATAGACGTCTTGCCCTTCCAATAGTCGGTAGCGAAGAGAATGAAGTCAGCATTTTGGGCGCAAAGTCTGTTTTCATGTAGGAAAATTTCCTGTTGCATTCTCAGAGAGCTTTTATAATTTTGGTTTTATTTATTTTATTTTAAACAAAGTTTTAATGTTGTTTTATTTTATTTTATTCATAGTCTGTCAATATATGTATTGAACTCTTTGGGTCCTGTTACTGGATCTAACCAACGCCTTTATCCACTGTGCCATGTGTCCTTGAGGACAACTGGGTATGATTTTCTGGGTATTACAAACCTAATGTCTTTAGCAACCATTTTTACCAGTGCCCATATTGCAATTTTTGCTGTTATCATGGAATGATTTTACCAGTGCACATATTGCAATTTTTGCTGTTATGATTGTATTTTTATAATAGTGACAGGACCCAAAGAGTGTGAGTTCAATACCCGGTTAAGGCAGTGGAGAACTTTCAGAGGGAAATTAACAGGAGATAACTGATAAATATGGCGACATGATGAGGACAATAGTCCGAATAATGTATTTTATTTATTATTATATTTGTATTTATTAATAATGTCGCTACATTATATTACTGATGAAACTTGGAGGTTATACACAGGTTGTTTGCTCCGATTCGGTTTGTGGAGGGTTTGTAGATGGCTTTTTGCGGAAACTGTATCCCTTGAGTATGCCTATATTCCTATTTAAACCTGGATGTGTGAATTTATTTTTAAAAAGTATTCACACATTCGTTCAGTTATATGCCATGCGTGATAAACGCTTAGGAAATCATGTATCTTTCGATACATAACTGACGAGGCAGATTTTTTTTTTTCCCGCAGTATGTTGTCATTTCTTTCTGTGGCAGACCAGTTGACATCCAAGGCTATAGAACTCGGCCTGTCCTGCTATTTACCCATAGCTGGGGCGAGAAGTCGAAGATTCATACCTTTCCAAAGGGTATTAGCATGTAAGTGAATGTAATGGATTTGACTGGAATTCGAACTCGGCATCCAAAATCCGAGCCGCTATTACTCCACTGTGCCTCCCTCATCGGCCTACTAATTTTCTGGTTTTAAATAACCTATCATATATATATATATATATATATATATATATATATATATATATATATATATATATATATATATATATATATATATATATATATATATGTGTGTGTGTGTGTGTGTGTGTGTATAAAGGCATTTTTATGTTTATACATTTTTTTTTTATAGATACAAATATTTAAGTAAATGCTGTGTTTATAATAAACAGTATTAACGACATTTACCGGCCTGATTGTCCGAGAAATTTTCATAGAAAATATGTGCCCTCCGACAGGAATCGAACCTCTATTCTAAACGGAACCGTCATATAGCCTGACGTGCTTCACATATATATATATATATATATATATATATTGAATGAAATCAATTATCCATGTTATAGTTTAAGAAACTTTTGAGAGAAATGCCAAAAATTTAAGCTGCAATAATCAAGGCTGAAGGAGCAAAATTTAATCATAAAATACTTTTTTTTGTCATAATCAAATTTCTAATAAAAAATCATGTCTCGATTTTTTTAACCATATATGGTAATTTTCTCTTATTTAAAGGACAAAACTACTTTTTATGCCAATTTTAAAAAAATAACAGAGATCGCGTCAAACTTTTAAACTCTACTATATACACAGAGTGGTGTTCAACCTGTACAAGACTCTAGCGCCACTCGAGGTAGAGTAAAAGGTAGCGGTTTATGTGTATATGTGAGGAATATAACGATTAACCATAGACTTCAGCTGGTCAAAATTATAGCGATCGGGAAAGCATCCTCTTGGGAGCAGCGGCTAGTAGGAAATATCTGTTTAAGTGAAAGTTACATCACACCAATGCAAGACAAAATGGAATTAGAGTGATTCACTACAATGTTCTTGGCATGGTTGGTCTTAGAGGTGATTTTCATATATCAACACCTAATGAATATATCCTTAACGCTTATTCTCTCAAGGGTCAGTGTATATATCTATGCTTATATCTATATGTGTGTATCGATATAAGGATATTTATTAGTCTTACATTAATTTAAGTTAAGTAAGGATAGCGTCGTGACATTTGTTTTTTTTTTTTTGCCTTGAAACTCAGCATTTGAATACTTGTCTTTTCTATCGCTCTTTACTAATAAAACAGGTCGTCTTTATAACGATCAACACTAGATCTAACGGTTATGTAAAATCGCGTCATAGTTGTTTGGACCACTTGGTATGAGAAACTACGTTTGTCGCTTTGGGAACGAAGTGGACATGTTCTAAAATACAATCTGAGGAGAAGTGATGTCTAAGTGATATATGAGTCATATGAAGTTATTTTTTGTTTCGAAACAAACAGATGGCACGGAAGGACAATACAAAAGACGTCCTTCAAGGTACACACTCTACGGCGGAGGACTCCTTAAAGGAATATAAAAAAAAATGAACAATCTTAAGATACGCAAGAAACCACTACAAAATATAAAAGAATTGTGAGACATGGAATAGAAAGTGTGAATAGAATGGAGAGAGTTTGAAGAGAGAATGGAACAAAAGAAGGGACAGTGAAGGAGTGGCAGGGAGGAAAAGGAATAGGAGTAAACAAAGAGAGGAGGTTGACAGGAGAAGGCGGAAAAAGAACTGTAGAGAGAGGAAAACGACCGGGAAGAGGAAGGGGAGGATGAAAATGGCAAGAGGGGAGGAAACGGTTCGCAAAGATGATAGAATAAAGCGAGACGTTAAAAAAACATGAGAGAGGGAGAAAAGAGAGATATCGTAATAGAAAAAAAAGAGAGCGAAAGAAAGAAAAACTGTGAGAGAGAAAGAGAGAGAGAGAGAGAGATTCCGAAGTAGAAGAAAGAGAGAGCAAGAAAGAAAAAGCGTCAGAGAAGAAGAGGGATATCGCAAAAGAGGAAAGAGAGATACCACAAAAGAAGAGAGAGAGAGAAAAAGAAAAAGTGGGAGGGAGAAAGTGAGAGAAAACGGAAAAGAAGAAAGAGAAAAGAAAGAAAAAGTGGGAAAGAGAGAAAACGCAACAGTATAAAGAGAGATAAAGAAAGAGAGAGATGCCACAAATAGAAAGAAAGAGAGACAAAGAAAAAATGGGAGGGAGAAAGAGAGAGACAGCCAAAAAAGAAAGAGAGAAAAAGAAAGAAAAATGGGCGAGAGTAAGAGAAAGGGTGACACGGGAAAAAACAAAGAGAAAGATATAAAAATGAACGAGAAAAAAGAGAAAGGTTTGAAAGAAAGAGAATAAGAGATTCTGAGAAAAAAATAAAGAGAAAGAGAGAGAGAGAGAGAGAGAGAGTAAGAATTAAGAAAGAGAAAAGAATAAAATTGGGAGAGGAAGCGAAACATTGAGAAAGAGTCTGTAAAGAAAGAAAAAGTGGGGGAGAGAGAGTGAAAGAGAGAAAGATTGATATTGAGAAAGAGAAAGAAAAACAGTGAGAAAGAAAGAAGGGTATGGGGAGGGGAAGAAAATGAAAGAAAGAAACGCATGAGAGAAAAAGAGATACTGAGAGAGAAGAAAAAGAAAGAAAGAAAGAAATAGTAGCATAATGAGAGGAGAGGATATTGAGAAAGAAAAAGGAAAGAAAGGAAAAAGATATAGAGAGAAAGAAAAAATAGATAAGAAGAAAGAAAACGAAAGAAGGACAATGTTTGAGAAAGAGAAAGAGAAAGAGAGGTATTGAGAAAGAAGAAAGAGAATGTAAAAATGTGAGTGAGAAGGAGAGAGAAATCGATATTTGGAAGGAAAGAAAGAGTATATATGTAGTGAAGAGGAAGATAAAGTTATCTCCCTCTCTCTCTCTCCCCTCTTTCTTTCTCTTTCTCTCTCTCTCTCTCTCTCTCTGTATATATATATATATATATATATATATATATATATATATATATATATATATATTGTTTAAAATATAATATATAGGGAAAATATAAAAATGGGGAAGCGTGATCAATATCACTGTTTGCCGGCCGGAATGTCCGAGAAATTTTCACAGAAAATATTCGTCCTCCGACAGGAATCAAACCTATACGGAACCGTCATCTCGCCTGATGTGCCTTAAACGATTGAGCCACAGAGGATCGTTCGATTAGCAATGTCGATTTTACTGTTTTTAAACTAGAATCTTCCATGATACTCTCACGTACATTCTTATCTGCTCAATGCGTATCCAAATGTAAACAAATGACGTCACAATCGGTTAAGGCACGTCAGGCTATATGACAGTTCCGTATAGGATACATGTTCGATTCCTGTCGGAGGATGAATATTTTCTATGAAAATTTCTCAGACATTCAGGCCGGTAAATGTTGTTAATACTGTTTATTATAAACAGAGCATTTACTTAAATATTTGTATCTATAAAAAGAATGTATAAACATAAAAATGTTTTAAAACAATTGTCGGACTTCGTCCATTTCATAATATATATATATATATATATATATATATATATATATATATATATATTTTTATTATAAGAGATTGTAATAAAAACATCTTGAAATCGCGACACATAACTTTTCATGTTTCAATACCATGACTGTACTTCTTCAGGCGATGGTCAATAACTGGTGATTAAATGATTTGTAAGGAAATTTAAAAATAAAGTATTACCTCTTTCTCCAAAAGTTAAAAGGTGGTGGCATAAAGTCAGAATTAAAAATAGACTCATGGGCATGTCTTGATTAACCAATTAAATGTCAGATCTACGCTGAATAGAAAAGTGAGCTTAGAAGATGGAAGTGGCTGAGTAATTTTTTCATTTCACAATATACTGGAACATAGACATGCCATCATTGACGATTGCAGAAAATCTCCCATCGCAAATGTATTGTGATTGTAGACAAATATGTTGATTTTTTTTTTTTTTTTTTGAAAGGGCGTTGAAGGGGGAGGTGGGTTAATCAGCCGCAAAAATAACAGAAAATTTTTTTTAATTATTTTATATTCAGGAAGCTTCTTAAATGGGCTTGTAGATAAAATTTAAAATGTGGAACATCTATATAAGATATGAATAATACTAACTGGACGACAATACATAGCAATATTAAAACTGAATAAACAAAATAAAGTTCTTAGGTGTAGAGAGTGGACAATTATACACTAATAAATTATGGTCATAAGAAATGTTAATACGTAATTAAAAAAACAAACTATAGTTAATTAAGTTAATTCACTCCTTTGTTTTAACATTTTTTGTCAGAAAATTTGATTATTTGTAAATTTTCATGTTAGCACGGTTCATTTAAAGATTTACAGGCTCTAGCTCTTTTTAATATTTTCCATTTTACCGTAGGAGTTTTATTAACTTCTTTTAAGTTCTAAAAATATTCAGAAAGAGACGTCCTATTTCTGTACACGTTTTTATATATATATATATATATATATATATGAAGAAATATAGTTTTAAGGTATGCCATATTTATGGGATAAAGTACTCAATATCAGAGATAGAGCGTATGACAATATAAAAATGAACATTGAAATCAACACTCGGAGGCAGCAGACTGTTTTATGCTAAACACAATCATTAGGACTGACTTCAATGTTAACTTCCAATTCATCTCAACATCAAGAAAATGATTAGACAACTGGGAAGGATCGATATAAAAATAAGTAGACGCATTATGTCTATGTTATTCAATGAAACATGCCTGAATGAAGATATGCTGCCTGAATATACATATATACATACATACATTTTAATTTTACTTAAATAATATCTTACTTATTATAAAACACAGATTGTGTGTGTGTGTGTGTGTGTGTCTGTACGTTTATATATTGGATCGGATTTCCTACATTTTTCAACCGATTTCAACAAAACTTCACAGGACTACGTAAAATTACCTTGCGGTGGTTCTAACAGCGCCAAAAATTGGAAAATTGCACAAAATCAATTTGAAAACACGATTAAGAGGCATCACGAGAATGAAAGGGGGACAGCTCATATCGAGTTATACTTATTATAAAACACAGGTTGTGTGTGTGTGTGTTCGTTTATATATGGGATCGGATTTCCTACATTTTTCAACCGATTTCAACAAAACTTCACTTTTTTTTTGGCAGGTAGTGTTTCTTATTGTCTTGTACACTTTTTTTCTTGATTTTTACATTCAGAATGCTTTAAAAATTCCATTTACAAGACAATTGTTTATGATAAAATTCTGTTCAATCGGTAGACTCATGACGATTGAAAACAATGTTTTTGTTTGAGTTTGGTTTTGACCAATTCGTAAAAAAAAAAAAAAAAAAAAAAATAATTAAGACATGCATGTCCGTCAACCTTAAACAATAATCTTTGTCAATTTTATTTTTCAGTCTTTATGAGGGTCGATACTTGATCTATCTCTTACTATTACATCTCCGGGCAACGCCGGGCTCTACTGCTAGTTTAGATATAAAATTTTTAAAAAATGTGACATAGTAATATACATAATTATACTTGATATGAAAAGTAATTTTACATACTGTAATACATTTAGTTATTTTAAAAAAGAAATATAGTCCATTAAAAATTAAAAGTGAAAATACTTTAAAATTGTAGTTAAATAAAACTTATTCTAAACTAAACATCGCCAAAATATCTTTAAGTATACAAATAGAAAAAATGCTGTAAGAATTTTTTGCCGTTAACAATAAAATGTAAAAGAAACACAGACGACATGCATTTAACGGAAGTCAGAATTCGTTGAAAAATACATCCCTACACTTACCTAAACGTAACCCCTTTTTTGAACATAACTAATAACTGATGCAACAAAAGTTAATGAAAATGAACACGCTACCACCCCTTGTCTGAATGAGTGGATTTCTCTGTATCCTTGGAAACAGTGAATTATGAATTTTTGCCGTGCCTTTAAAACTCAGTAAATTTTAAAATAAGTTACTCTAAAATTCGCTTGAGGATGAAATGGAACTAATGTCTTTAATTTAATTACAAAATTAAATTCGAATCTTTTAGCTTCCATTTTGGAAACATGGTTAGAACTGTGCAGCGAAAAACATATTTTAAATCAGTTAATTTATAATACATACATACATATATATATATATATATATATATATATATATATATATATATATATATATATATATATATATATATGAATTTGTAGGTCTTGAGGAATTGGATCGTGATTACGATTCCAATGTAACAAATTATAACAATGGAATATTAATGCTTGAGCTTTTTATATTATATTCTTGTTCTGGCCTTGACATTGAGCTCTACCTGGATTCTATCCTCTTGGAAATTTATATATATATATATATATATATATATATATATATATATATATATATAGAGAGAGAGAGAGAGAGAGACAGAGAGAGAGAGAGAGAGAGAGACAGAGAGAGAGAGACAGACAGACAGACAGAGGGAGAGAGAGAGAAATACAATAAATGTTTCATTTTGTTAAAATAATGATTTCTCTGTATCTATTTTGCTTTTTGAGCAGTTCACACACACGCGCGCGTGCGCATACACAGACACACACACACACACACACACACACACACACACACACACACACACACATATATATATATATATATATATATATATATACGAGAATGGCTCTCCTAAAGTAATATGTGAGCCCCGTATTTTATAAATTTTGACATATACACATATGGCTCTCACTTTTATATATTTCCCACTTGACCGTTCTTTTATTTTTCTTGCAAAAACAGAAGAGATAAAAATGAGAATGTAGAAGACGACGAAGAAGAAGAAAAAAAGAAAAGAAGAAATAAAAAAGAGAATATGAAATGAAAGAGTGGCTATTGTAAATTCAAGAGAATGGAGAAGCTTCTCTTATACTGAATCGAAAGAAAGTAACTCTCTCTATATATATATATATATATATATATATATATATATATATATATATATATATATATTAGTGACTTAATGAACTCAAAAAATCAGAAAGTAAGTTTCATATGGGTCAGAACGGAAGTCCTCTTGAGTTAGCGCCGTCTAGTGTCATCGTTAAGTTATTAATTAAAGCGGTCGCTGTGAAAACAGCAAAGAAGGTGGAGGTCTCTTTCTTATAAGAAATTGCGCAGTATATGTTCTTCTGACTATACATATACATACATACATATATATATATATATAAAAGTGAAGATAGAAGTCAACACTTAGAGGTGACAGTCTGTTTCATGCTAGATGCAATCGTCAGGAAATCGGTGGCCTGACGATTGCGTCTAGCATGAAACAGACTGTCGCCTCTAAGTGCTGACTTCTATGTTCACTTTTATATTTACACACGCTCTATCTCTGATATTGAGCACTTTACCCCATAAATATAGCACATCTTTAGACTATATTTCTTCATATATATATATATATAAGGTTTCCCTGACGATCCGCTTAGGTGAAACCTGGGTAGGTTTGTCTGGCTCATTTATATATATATTGGGCGAGTGCTTAGGAGGTTCGCTTTCTGACCATGGTACCCGGGTTCGATTCTGTTGATTTGTCAGGAAGTAGACTTTCTGATGTTATCGGCCTGGAGGGTGGACGATTCCAGTGTGCGAAACCTTTGGAAAATGCCTCAAAACAATACCATACCATACCTTGTGAGTGAAATTGGGGACCGTCGATAGCTGTGCTACCACGTAGTCACAAGTCATCGTGACCGAGGGTTTGAGTGTGCTGGCGTTGTTCAGATTGCTAGATAACATTCCTCTCTCTCCCAGTTTATATATTTATTATAGTTGCAGTATAAACGACAGGTTGGCTCTGTGGGTGTTGAACAAACACAAATGTGCTTAAGTGAGAGTTTACAATAGGGGTTGTCTAAACGCCCTAGTAGAGGGGTATCCACGAGTAGGAGTGGCCAGCTATTATATATATATATATATATATATATATATATATATATATATATGTGTGTGTGTGTGTGTGTGTGCGTGCGTGCGTGCGTGCGTGTGGGGCAAATGGACTCCTCACCGAGTAAAGGCAGCCGCTAGGTCTCATAATTCCCAAACGAACATTTTAGAGATGATTTACATGTCGATAACGATACCTTATCTAAGAATATAACCAACGCTCTGGTTGTCGTGAGATTACCAAAAACTTAGTTTAGTTCAATGCAAAGCTAAATTGAGGGAGTAAGTTTGGGCTAGACCAGGCTTGCAAGTCGAGATTACCTGCTAATCTAGATAATTTAGCATTTGAAACCTTTTTTTTTTTGTTGCAATGATTAGAATATCTGCGACTACCTGAAGTCATCTCTTTTGTAAGTTGTGAAGGAGAAACTTCAGCCAATCCGATCGGTTCTGTGTTTATAGATGAAGTGAAAGATATTTACATACTGAAGGGAAGGTAATGAAGAAATGACATAAAGATGTGTGTTTTTTTGTTTTTTTTTTGGTGAGGGGGGGGATTAGAAATTAGAAATGAAGGTCGCCATGTATGGGAAAAGGTGGGCTGCGGCGGTGGAGATGTGGCTGGAAAAGATATGTAGCCAGACTGGCATTGAGGATGGAGATTAGACATCGAGATTGCATGAATGGCTAGTGGAAAGAAAAAAAATAAAGGTAATGTGGGGACAAATAAAAATAATTGTCGAAGAAGAAGAGGAAGGAGGAGAGAAGGAGCAGAAAAATGATAGAGAAAAGAAGAAAAATGGAAGAAGAAAAGCAAGAAGAAAAGAGGAAGAAGAAAAACAAAAGGTAGAAAGATGGAAGAAAAAATAGAAGAAAGAGGAAAGGATGCAGAAAAAAGACGAAAGAAAAGATAAAAAGAAGGAACAGGAATGTCGAAAAATGGAAAAATGAGAAGAAATAGGAGGAGAGACGGAGTAAAAAAAAAAGCCGAAAGTGAAGAAGAAGAAGAAGAAGAAGAAGAAGAAGAAGAAGAAGAAGAATACAATAAACAGGAAAGAAAAGAGGGAAAAAGAAAGAATAAAGAAAAGGAAAGAAGTAGAAAGAAGAAAGAAAGAGTGATATGTGCAAGAGAAGAAGG